AAAACAAAAAAAAAAAAAAGAAAAAAAAAAAAGACAAAAAAGACTATACTTCCTAAAGCTTTAAAAATAAATTTATTTAAAGACAAATTTCCATTTTTGGAGAGGGGAGGGGACATTTCTGGAGAGGAGAGGGGAGGAGACAAGGATATGGTATTTAACTGTGATATATGCAAATAATCTGAAAACCTAATTGTATCTAATACTTTAAATGTTTTCAAGCTACTGTTTAGAAGAGAAGTAGGCCGGTGATGGCTTTGCTGCCTATTCCTTCCCTGTGAACAGCCTCTGCAGGCCATGCTAATGAGTAACAAAAAGAAAGATGAGGCCTGGGAAAGCAAAGAACATAGATGATGCAGAGATGATGACATTGCTTTTGAATTTGTTAAAACTGGTTACAAAATTTTTTTTTGAATGCATGAAAAATCATGGTTTCACACAAAACTTCAAATGTCAAGACCTCTTATGTTATACTAAGAATATAATCATAATGTAAGAACCTTTCTAGTTTATGGAAATTTATCATTAAATTTATTTCACAATTGATAGTTTATAAAAATGAAGAGGAGTTCTCTGACAATACCCCTGGCTAGCCAAGTAACAGTTTTGGGCAGCCTCTCTGGGCCCATGGAGGCCAGCCCTGCATCCTTGCAGACTTCCAGGCAGGCCTGTGACACACCCTCGGCGCAAGAGCCTGCCCAATGACAGGATTCCTTGTGGTAATAAGGCCCAGGCATGGTTATAAAGGGATTGTGATGCAAACTTTTAGAACAAGAAAGAGTCGTTTTTATCTAGGGGCTGGCTGACCAGAACATTTAAAATCCTTGCTAATTCAAAATATCCTTGTCTTTGACTTTGAACAGCTTGATAAGGGAGCCTTATCATCAGTAGTCAACGGGTCTGCTTTCCCCTTGGGATCAACTCTTCCAGGACCACCAAAAATAACTTTGGCTGGGTAAGGATTAGAAGCAATAAATTGTCACGTACTCTAATGTAAGAATTTAAGAGACTTTTGGATACATTTACAATTTTCTTCTATACTATAAAATGAGCTATACTGCACACCTTCATGACTTCTGAAAAACATTTTTGACCATAAGCAATGCCACTCACAGTGTTGCTGTCTGTGTCTGGTTTCGTTGCTGCTGGAAAGGCTGGCTTATAACCTGCATCTGTCCCTGTCCTCCTGTCCGTTGTCCTGTGTCAGCGTTTCTTGAGGCTTGTTGCCATTTATAGCTCTGTCTTGAGTCCACATTGATTCAAACTGTGCTGCTCTCTTGTTTGCTGTCATCCGCACAAGTAATGACATGGCAGCCACGTAGCATGAATGGGGGTGGTGGTGGCTGCAGAGTGCCCTCTTGCTGCCTCCGCCCGCTGCCTTCCATTTGGAGTTGGCTTGAGCTCTATGGCAGGTGCTAATGCATGATCTGTCTTCACATCTCCAGGTGGTCATAGGCTGCACTCATCTGGGACCTCATCTTGTTATTTCTTGCCTTGTCCTGTGTTTATAATGTTACTAATTAAACTAACCAGCTGGTTGATATTCTTTGTCAGGTTAACATTGATGTATTAACAGTGGTTTGGGCAACCCTCACGTTTCATTGAGTCCTGTAGTTGATTATGGAGATCAGCATATTCATGCCTCCAGGAGTGTTTTTTTTTTTTTTTTTTTTTTTTTTTTTTTGAGACAGACTGTCACTCTGTCACCCAGGCTGGAGTACAGTGGCTTGATCTCTGCACACTGCAACCTTTGCCTCCTGGGTTGAAGCAGTTCTCCTGATTCAGCTTTCTGAGTAGCTGGAACCCCAGGCACATGCCACCACACCTGGCTAATTTTTGTGTTTTTTAGTCGAGACAGGGTTTCGCCATGTTGGCCAGGCTGGTCTTGAAGTCCTGACCTCAGGTGATCCGCCTGCTTCGGCCTCCCAAAGTGCTGGGATTACAGGCGTGAGCCACCGCACCTGGCCTGCTTGCAGGAGTTCTTTTGGTCCCCGGTCTAAGGCAAGCACACAGCCTGGGCCTGAGAGACAGCAGTCAAACACCTTACAGGATATAGCCCACAGCCTCTAGTGCTTTCCAGGCTCCTGCAGAGTTCTGCCGTTCAGGCGTCACTTCGTGATGGCCTTGGTAAGTGTGAGGAGAGTGGTTTGGGGCTGGAATGAAAGGCTGTGAATCTGGAGACACACTGGAACTGATCAACACTCAGTTCTCATGGTTGCCAAAGGGCGTTAGTTGCTCCCGGGCATTGCTGCTTCAGTTTATGCAGTGGCTCTTTGAGCTGTTGTAATTCTATGCCCAGGCTGTTGACAACTTTCACTGAGTTGGATGGAGTAAGACCGTGGGCCATGCTCCTTGATTCACTCCCTGGGTGTGATGGATTGGTGAGGGTTCAGCTGGTATGATTGTAATTGGTCATATCATGGCTGTTAACATTTCTGGATCAAACAAAAATGACTTAGCAAATTCCGGATTCTGCTGATAGCATTTCCTCTTCGTTACACAGGATGATCTAAAAGGCTACGGTCCTGAAGATCCTCACTCTATCTTTCTTGTAATCTGGGGGCATCTGGTCAACAGTATTGACTCACTCTGTACTTTATTGGGTCTAGAACATTCAAGGACATTTGATACTTCTCACACTTTAATTGCATGCTCTCCCAGTTGCAGTGCCATCTGAGCTTCCACGTGGTGCAGCCATTGGCCAGCGGCACAGAGGAACAGTTATGAGAGTTTTCATTGCAGCTGTTTCTCTTTTTCCCCCTTTTCTGCTCCCCCCACTCCCCATTCTCCTTCTCCTCCTTCCTCTTCTCTTCCCCTCCTTCTGCTCTTTTTTCTCCTCCCCCTGCTCTTCTTCCTCTCTCCTTTTCCTCCTTTCCTGTCTATACTAGACTTTTTTCAATTAGTCATGTTTTTCTTTATTTTGAAGTGATTATGCGGGTTACAAACAATTTCTCTATTGTAAACAATGTGCCAGGAGCAACTTGAGTTTTGTGTTTGTATTTTTTATGCACGTAATTACTTGATCCGATGCCTCTCCACTCAATCAGCCCTGGCCATTTTTATCTCAACATGCACAGTACTGATGATATACTGGAATCTCTGCCAGTTTATTGGTGGTGGTAAGGAAGCAGTCAGAGAATTGTTTGCTGATTGTTTCATTCTATATAAGTTCCCAACCAAGACTTTTTCCTTTTCTTATCATAAAAGAAACTCTGTCAGCCCAGTGTGGTTCAAACGTATCTAACCTAGTAGACGCCATTGAAGCAGTTCAGCTCAGGCTGGAGGCCAGCAGGCTGTGTGCGAACTGACCCGCTGGTCATTCGTTAGGGTTAGGTGAGGGGTGAACTGGCTAGGTTATTAACTAGCTTATCATATTAATAAAAACCCTTTAATAAAAATCCATGTCCTGACACTCTGTAGCTTTAATGATCACATAACCAATCTGGTAACAAATGTGAATTCTGACACATTGTTGATGCCACTGTTTTTAGTAACATAATGAACATCATAATGAAGAATATTCCAGTCTGTTTCTCTGGGAATTTTTTTCCTAAAGATGAGGTTATCTTGCTGTGGCATAGTCTGTTTTTAATGCTTTTCTGAGGCAGAGTTGTCTGGATCGCTTCTAACTCTTCACATTTTAGATTGGCGCTGACAGAGTAGTCCATTTGGAGCCATGAGAGTGATTTTCCACTTGACGTCCACAGCAGCCGGCGGCCCTCACCGCCCTGCCCTTCGCGCTCATTCCTGATGCGTGTCTTTGCTGTTATTTCGGCTGAGACGTCCTGTTGGGCAATACTGAAGAAACCTCACAACCTTAAAAGTTGATGTCGAGTTCTATCTCCTTCGAGAGCATTTGGTTTTAACTTCTTCCATCTATATTTAACTCTGCCGTCTCTGAGTTTCTGTGGCATTTAGAGTCAGTATAACATAGTTGCTGGTTGATTATTCTGAGTCTCTGTGGTGTTTACCATTGGGATTACACAGTTGTTGGCTGATTATTCTCTTTTGTGCGCTAATGTTTCCAATGTCTGTGTTTCACATCCCTGATTACTTGGTGGATTCTCTAGGACAGGCACTGTATTTTAAACAGATAGTTATTCTTGGTGTCCCCTGAAGCACTGACCACAGTCCTGGCCACGCAGTGATTCATAGTAAATGCCTGCTGGCCTCCTCCTGGCTCCATAGATACTCATGGGCCTGTCACCCTCCCTCCACGGTTACGGTCCCCACTGGACTGCCCCCATGAGCCCCCACCCCACTTCCTCAAGGGAAGAGTTTTGGTTTCTCTGGACAGGGAGTGCCAAGACACCCTGTGGCCCAGCTCAGGGCAGGTCCGAGAGGGCCGAGGGCAAGAGCAGTGAAGTAGATGTCAGAGCCCCACTCTGAACAGGCCCCGGTCTGACCCACAGGAGGACAGGCCAGTGGCGGGATAGCTAGACCTGCCTCCCCCAGGCACCCACAAGCGCGGAAAGCCATAGTTCTTCTATCTCTAAAGGAAAAACCAAATTAGATGAATTCTCAATTAATACAGCATTCAGCAACCTCGTCTGGGGACATCACCTTTAAAATGGGAGCTCTCTCCAGAAGAAGCCACAGTTAGCAGCTTGCCCCCGCGTCAGGTGCTGTGAGCTATTTCCCACTGAGGGGCAGATGGGTCACTAAGCAGAGATAGGGGTGGTGAGAACAGGGGCGGACGACCAGCCAATCACGCACGCCAGAGCAGCAAGGCGAGGGCATGCTGAGGGAGTGGGGTTTGGGACTGACCTCACTACTGACAGCCAGCCTAGAGAGCTAAGCGTGCGGGTGCTCGGAGCACAGAGGACGGGGCAAAGGCTTTGCCCCTCTTTAAGGCGTTTGTATTAGCTACCAACCCCTATGCTCCATGTGATGGCGAGGCTGTCAGTAAGCATGGACTCTGTGCCAGGTGCTCTTCTAGCTCCGGTAGGAAGCCCAAGACTAAGATGCGACCTTGCTCAGCAGTGGCCAGTGCATTGCAGAGATGAGGCCTACGTGTGACCTGGAGGCCACACTGAGACAGACGCACATCTGCACCAGGCACAGGGACAGCCCTGTCATAGAACGCTAAATTAAATGCTGTATGCATGTAGAACTCATCTAGATTGTTTTTTGTCACACGGTGTTCTGTGCACATGCCCCTTCTTGTCATCACAGCCTATTGAACCTCTTCCATTACCAATGTTCTGAGCTCCTCAGTGAGTGTCTCTTCTGAGCAGTGCTTGGGAACTTCTCCCGATGGTTTAATGTGCAGCGACCCTCACCTTTAGCAACTCCAGAGACACGTTAGAGAAGGAGATTGTTTCTTCTCTAATGCCCCTGAAGATGACTTCTGAGCTAATCCCCAAATGCAATTAGGAGGGAGTTGTAATAATCCCTTCCTAAAATGAGGAAAGTCCCCAGAATCACACTGCACACTTCAGTGATTACAAACCTGCTTTGATATTCTTAGTAATGTTACAGCGTGGACTGCTTTAGCACTGGCATATCCGAGGACGAATGACGCTTTATCCATTGTTCTTTAATTTATGCTTCCCACTAGCATTCAGAGTTTTGGGGGGAAAGAGCAGTTTGGTGGGGAGAGGAGCACAAAAAACAGAGGTTTAAACAGGTCAGGTGGAGAAGAACTCCAGGAAGATGTCTTGGGAACTGTGAACAGCCTTAGGACCCTGATCCGCCCACACCACTGACTCGGTGGACATGTCTGGCTGCATTTGGTGGCGCTAGTTTCATCACATTGGAAACTCCCAGTTCACGACGAGACATCTAGCAGTAATACCTATAACTATCTGGTGTTGAGAGTCTCAGTATTTGTTGGAAAACACCAGATGCTTAGCTAATTCTCTGCATAAGGAGTAAGCATCTGAATACACTTTCTTTTTTAATCTTTATGGAGTAACTCTTAGTTCATGGGACACAAAGTCTAAAAAGCTATGT